CTGGAAAAGGGGGGTGGGGTGGAAAACAGCAAAAAGACCAGAATCACATTTTTAGCCATCAGGCATGAAAAAGAAATCACTGTCTCTCTTTTCTTACTGTTCCTGCTTAATTAGAAGCCTCTTCCTCCTTATGTATCAGAAACACGTAAAATCCAAGAATTTACATTTCCTCATAATCCCTACTGAATTATATCAAAGTATAAAGCAACATTTTCCAACTCTTTTGCAACAGAAAAAACATAAAATACATTCACATACTGCTGTTTCCTGAACTAACAAGGATTTGTGGTTTTCATGCTTCTATATCTTGATGTGTACTTCTTTCAGGAAGCAGGAAGATATTCTTCATCTAGGATCAAAGCAAGAAGACTATCTAAAACTTAACCTTTCACTTTACTCAACTGGTAAGGACAAGTGAAACGTGCCTCCTTACTCCCTTCAGGATACCATTTAGAGCTTAATGTTAACTAACCGCTTAGAACTGAGGAGCCAATTTGATCAAACTGTACAGAAGTGGATTTTCTCTTCAGTAAAGTACTTTAAGTCCTTGTAAAATATATAAAAGGTAGCACAAACCCTATGGCAATTTTGCAGAAATATTCAGAATGGATTTTGACAAACAGCTCTTCAACCATCCTCAGTTGGCATTTCTGTCACCCCAGAGACATATTAAAACAGATTTCTAACTACACCTAAGCAGACAAGACTGCGACATATCAGAACTTTACTGGGCTTACAGCAATCAGCAGCAGCCCTCTGAAGAGTCACTGCATACAGTTTCTGGTGCACCCAAGTTTGTACGAGCATGGTAACCACAGCTACAGATCATCCCGAACATACCATTCAGTATGAATTGCCTGAAAGTTTTCTCCTCTGTTACCATTCTCCAAATTAAATCACATATTTTAACGCTTTCATCAATAAGAATGTATTACTATCAGGCTGCATGAAACTAATCTAACCAGCAAATTTTTTGCAGTTATTTCCTGCTCCAAATTTGAACACCTTCTCTTGGCTATATTTTGGCTCTCTGTTTCTATTTCAACAAAACCAAACTCCAAAACAGTTCATTTTGCACACCGGCATTTTAAGCTGCATTCAGAGATTTTCGATGCTTATTATCTATGTTCTTCAAAATCAACGCATACACATATATAAGCACATCCACTTATATACAAACAGGTTCATGAACTGCAATCAACAATTTTGTAAATATACGTTTCCTAGCCATTAATCATCCCCCTTTTTTTTTTAATCCTTATGGAGTGAATTACTAACTGAGAGGAGACGCCAATTCTAGTAAGTGAATGTTACCCAACAGGGATATAAAGCTGTCAACACCATAGTGCTCTTGCTTGCTCTAAACTCTCTCCCAGGCTTCATATGTTTTTTAAAGCGATATAAGCCTTTTTTTGCCAGGGACCTTTCTAAAACCTGCCTCTCCTGAACATCTGAGCACTTGTGCTTTATTACATACAGGTTTTTAAACAGACTGGTTAGATAACTGCTGAAACATTTTAGAAAGCACTGTGTTAGTCAGGCAAACTGAAATCGGTCTCTTAACACGCTGGACTGACGCTAACAACATCATAAAAAGTACCAAAACTTTTAAATCCCCCATTAAACACAACCTTTAAGACCCCGTTTATCTTTTTAGTGACCTTTGCTAGTTTATTATTGCTGCTATAATGGCCCTTTGAATTAAGTACGTTCAGGTTAGGAACAAAAAAAAAGGAGAGTCATAAGGCAAAATTTCTCATGAGGATAATTGATTTTCTGTCTACACTACTAAAGCTTATTTTAATACATTTTTTCACTCATAAACCTAGAGAGAAAGCTAAAAACACCTACAGCACTACCATATTTCTCTGTTTCTCAGGGAAGTCACTGGAAAAATAATTGTAGCAAACACTATGATTATAAAACTTGTTACCAAAGGTCATCAGGCACATCATAGCACGAGTTAGTTGAGAGCTTATTGCTCTGCTCTCAGGGATTAAGTTCAGAAACAAATATTATTACACCAAAAACCCACCTGACAACTAGGAAGGAATTTCAGCATTTACATATCTAAGGCCCAAAATGAGATGAAAAAAAGGACTGCTAGCATCTGTCTTTGCTTTCAAAACCTTCAGATACACTTTATAAAATAAAAATAACATAAAACCTAAAATGGTCTCTAGTTCCCAGAAAAGTATTTCATTTCTCTCCCAAATTAAGTTCACATTCAATAAATGCTAGCGCTTCTTACAGCTTGAAAAATACAAATAAAACTGAAAGACTGACAACTGAAGCCTTGGATGTCATTTCACTATGACTTTCAACAGTTTCCTTTTTATCAAACATTAGGAGCAATACTAGAATAGCCTTTATTAATATTTATTTGAAGGGACATTTTATACTAATGTGCCAGTATATGAAGTCAGCATCTCCACGAATGTCTACAGCTGCGTTCCACAACTCAAGTGAAAAAATGACCACCACCACAGCCATCACTGCAAAGACACAGGTTTCCAGAAATACCCGAACTGGTGTGATCTGCATTCAGAAAAAGATCACTTGGTCACACAGGTTCTTAAAGATCAAACTTGCAAAGAGCAGAGAAAAAAAAATATCTGGAAATTAACTACGCTGATTTATCTTGAGAGCAGTTCCAGGAGGAAAAAAAAAAATGAAATCAATTTTAAACAGCACCATTATCTTATTAAAAAAAATCCGGCTTAACTAATTTAGTATTGAGTATTACAGAACCTAGGTAAGTATTCACACAAAGATAATTTTCTTTTTGCTTTCAGTATCAATAAGGAGTAATGAATAAACTTTATTATGAATAGGCTAAAACCAAAGAGATTGAGACTGCTTAAAGAACACCAGCTAAGGAGAAACAAAAAAATAATAAAATGCCTCCTGCATTTCCTATTCCCACACACTTTTACATTCCAATCTACTCCAAGTTTATAAACGAGCTTAAGAGCAATGAACGAAAACGTAAGCTCTTAAAAGCTCGCTTTCAGAAATGAGATTCTTTGTCTTAAGTGGAAGAAATCTTCCATAACTTAACAGGCCAGATTCAAGCTGTTCAACCAATATAACTATACAAGCCGGTGAATTTCTCTTGGCTAAGACAACTGCAATTAGAAAGCAACATATATTCCAAAACATTAAAAAATATTCCTTTAAAGTATATTTCTCTAAATGCCCCCAGGAAAAAGATTTTTGTTCCAGTTCTCACATTCTTTAAAATCAGCTATAACGCCTCAGTCTCAAGAAAGGTATCCAAAACTACATCTCTTACTTTTCATATGATTAACTAGTTCATTTTTACAATTATTCAACAGATTATTCCTCCACCGATTTGTAAATGGAATAGTACTACAAGTCTTTCACTGCAAAGCTGATTCTTCTTTTCCCATAACAGTAGAACACAAAACCCAGACATACAGTCATCCAAGAAACATAAAAAACTGGTGAGATCTCTTACCCTTCATTAGGTACATAAATGAATCCTACGTTTTTAAAATGAAATAAAATCTGCAGCCCCTTAGCAAACTTCAGCAATTAGGAAGCCTATTGAGCCAAAGAGGTCTAAAACAAGCATCTAATGGTAAAATAGCTAAATAAATCTCACGTAATAGAGAGTCATGTGATGACCATATCAAAGTATCTCCTGAAGTGTCATTTACACAAACTCGTTGTGTACAAGCAACTACATTTATGCGTTGCCACGCTGCACATTTTAAGACATAAATACAAGGAGATGGATTTTTTCTTTAAGGTCAAGTTATTTGTGGCCTGCCCTGCATTATTTTGCTCACAGCATCTGGCTAATTCCAAGATTTTTAAAGGTATTTTTCCTAACATGAGGAATACCGTGTTAAACGCAACATCAGAGTCAAGATGAAAAAAAAAAGAGGGTTATTTAGGAGAAGTGACTGGAAAGTTTAGCTACGTGGAACAAAAGGGAAAATAAAAGGAACCACAAGCGTTATTTGAACATGCTCTAAACACAGAACTGACCAACAACTAGATACCAAAGTACACATGAAAGTTGAAGTATTCTAGAGAATCGCAGGAATGCTTAACAACTAATGCTCGATAATTTGGGTGCAAGAGTTAAACCCTGCCCTCGTTTTGCCCTGTTCTCTTTCACAACGGCTACAAAACGCTACTCACGGGAACTAAACCCACCCCAAACATATCCCTAAATGCAGACATAAACGCTGCCATTTTTTCCCACCCCGGGGACCCAGCTCTCAGGGTTGTGGCGGTGGGTGTAACACACGTAACTCATGCCACCCGCACCCGTGAACGCAGCCGGGTGACCTAACCTAACCTGGAGACGATGCCGGGCCCCTGGGAGCCGCCGGCCAGGGCAGGGTGCTGGCCGCGGGTTGCCCCGGCGCGATCCGCCAGTGATCACGCAGAAAGCGCCGAGGGCATGGCCCAGCTCGAGGATTAGGCCTGGCCTTTGTGAGCCGCCCAGCCAGAGCTCGGGCCTAGGGGTGGCCTCTTGGGGAAGGCGGCCTTCTGACGAGCGGGCTCTGCAAGCCGCAGACCTCGGCACCGGTCCTGCCCCGAGACTGCAGCACCGCAGCGGTGTTGAGCAGATGAACGCTTTCCAGTGAAAGCGGGCAGTAGCTCGGCGGCCGCCACACGAACCTGCAGCCCCTCCGCGCACAGTGCCGACCCGCCCGCCAACTGCCCCCATGCCAGCGGAGCCGCCGAGCCGGGCCGGGCCGGGCCGGACGGCGGTGTCGCCGTGAGCGCGGCCGCACGGTTACCTCCCACGGGCTTGGTGACGGCGCCGTTGGGCCTCCCGCGGGTGCCCATGGGGCTGCCGTTCTGCTCCAGTCTGGCCACCTTCCCGGGAGGGGGTCCTTTGACATCGGGGCTGCCGCTGCCTCTGTCGGGGCTGTCCCGCAGGCAGGGGCTCTCACTCCTCCGCTCCATGCTCGGAGACGCGGCTCCCGCTGGCAGGTCGCAGTAGAAGGAGCACGGACCTAGGGGAAGAGAAACAAGGAGCGCTTCAGCGACCGCCGGCCCGGACCGCCGCCCGGCACCGGGTCCCCTTCCGCCCGCCAAGGCCCCCACAGCGTGTCCCCCGGACGGCTCAGCCCAGCGAAACCGGGCGAGTGCCCGGCCGAGCGTGATGCCGCCCCGCGCCCACCGCCGGAGAAGGCACCCCCGCTGAAAGCGAACAGCTCGGCTTCGACGGCCCCGGCCCGGCCGGACCGCCTTACCAGCTCGGCCCGCGGGTCCCGCTGCACGGCCCCAACCTGCGGCGGGCAGAGGCAGTCAGCGCTGCTTCCCGGCCCCCCATCGCGGCGGGCAGGCCGGCGGACAGCCCACCCGCCCGTCGCGGCCAGGTGGTGCGCCCCGGGTCCGGCCTCAGCCCCGGCCCGCCCCCGGGAGCCGCGGGGAAGAGGCTGCCAGTCCTGGCTGCCCCGCTGGCACGGCCCCCCCGCGCCGGCCAGCTGTGCAGCCACCGAGTAGCCGGCTGCTGGCGAGAAAGCCTCTAGCGAGCAGCTCCCGGGAGCTGCCGCTGTACTTACTGCTTATAGCCTGTCTGTAAGTTGGCTGAGTTGGGCTCTGTCCATGGATCAGAAGTAGAGAATCCAGGGTGGAAAGTTTTCTTGCTTCCTCCTCTCACGCCGCTTTCTTCCCTTCTACTGCTTCCCCCCACCCCCAGCCCCCTCCTTGCCCTCCTCCGGGGGTGCCGAGGCGGCGGGGCCGGGGCGGCTGCCCGCTCTGCGCGGGGTGGCAGGGGCCAGAGCCCCTTCCCGGAGGATCGCGGGCAGCGAGCGGAGCGGAGCGGGGAGGTCGGGGCGAGGGGGCGGGGAGCCGCGGGGCCGCCGGCTGCGGCGCGGAGGAGAGGGGAGAGGGAGCCGACTTCTCACACCTTCCGCGGAGAAAATCAATACCGGGGGAGACGGGGGGAGGAGAAGAGGAGGGAGCGCCGCTCCCCCGGGCTCCGCGGCGGTGGCGGGTGCCTAGCGGCGCAGGGAAGCGGCGGCGGCGGCCCCCGGTGTGTCACTTTCAATCGCTCCCTCCTCTGCCAGCGACAGCAGCGGCAGGAGGGAGTCGCCACAGAGAGCGGAGAAACGGTTATTAGTTGCGTTGAGTCATCGAGGCAGAGTGAGTCCTTTTTGGGGTTGTCCTTGGTTTCGGGTTTGGTGTGTGTGCACGCCTGTGTGTGTGTGTGTCTGCCTGTCTGTCTGTCTGCGCGGCGTTCCCGTCCCAGGGCTGTGCATCCCAAACATCGCCACCCCTCCTCGCCTCCGACACCCCTCCCCCTTCCCGCCCCCCCGCAAAAATCAAGTCTCGGTGCTGTCTCGGGATCGGGTGCAGACGGGCGCGCAGCAACCCACCCCCCCCGGCTCCGGCCCGCCCCGCGGAGCCCCAGCGTGGCCGGCCCGCTGCGCCCAGGGGTGGGAGGCAGAGACCCACCTGGCAGGAAATTAAACACCAATAAATAAATAATACATCTCGCACACGAAAAGCGAGCTCGGTGCCGCACGGAGGGAGGAGGGCGGGCTGGGTGAGGAAGGGGAAGCGCGGCAGGACGAGGCAGTGGTGACAGCAGAGACCCAGGGCAGAAGGGCGCAAGGACAGGGGCAGTCAGGCTGGGGGAGGGCCGGGGGAGTAGGAGAGGAGGAGGAGCTGGGAGAAGAAGGGGAAGGGGGGAAAGGGGTCTTAGAGGGGAAGTCGGAGTTAGGGAGACTGGACCGACCGGGGAGGAGCAAAGCTGCCACCGGCATCCAGTCCAGGCGCCGGGGTCGATCTGACGCAGCCGGTACGGCCTCACCACCTCCTGCCACACCGCGACCCTCGCGGGGCGACGAGCGACGGCGGGAGCCCTCCCGCCACCTCTCCCGGCCGGGGCGAGGCGACAGCAACTTTTCCGGTGCGGCGGGGGCTGCCACCCCGAGGGCCGGTCCCGCTTCCTCCGGGGAGCTGAGAGCGGGCGGCACGGCACGGCCGCAGGTAGGGCCCAACTGCCGCTCTAGTCCCCGCGCCCGGCTCCAGGCAGTTACCAGGCTGGCCCTGAATAATTGATGGTGGGGGCCGGGAGGAGGTGACAAGCCGGCAGGGAAGCGCTGCTGCTGCCACCGCTAAATTATTTAATAGCTGTGCTCCGGGTAGGGCATGACAGCGCTGCCTAAGTGCAGCCGGCGGGAAGAGAAGGGCTCCGGCGGGGAAGTCGCGGCGGGGCGGGCTCGGTCGCCTCGCCGGTCGCTCGGCAGCAGCCACCTCCCCCTCGGGTGTAAGGTGCACCGCGCCGCTCCCCGCGGCGGGCGGTGGCGGCGCGGGCGCTTCCCCCGGCGGGGCCATGCCCGGCAGCGCGCCCCGAGGGCTCGCAGCGCCCCCTGCCCGGCCCGGGGGGCGCAGGGGAATGAGCCGGCGGCCCCGAACCGCCGAGCCCTCCCCGCCCGGCGGCGGAACGAGCCCCGTGTTAAGGTGGACCGAGGAAATCTCCTCCAGCGCGGGAGGGGGGAGGCGGAAGGGAGGTGGTGGGGAAGTAGTGGCGGCGGTGGGCACCGGGATGCCCACCGCCGCCCCCCACACACACACCTCCCGTCCGCCGCTGGCTCCCTTCAGGGCACCGCCCTCCCCGCCGTGCCCCCTTAAGAGCTCTGCCTTTTACGGTGGCGCCGGAGGGTCAAAAAAAGAGGGGGCTGGGGGGGGGGGGGGGGCTAGGGTAGGGGGTGTCTGGGAGCCCCCCCCCCGCCCGGGCACGGAGGGAGCACCACCGGGCAGCCCTGGCGGCAGGTTTCCGTCCGCCCCGTGAAGGCGCGGGGAGTGCAGGGTGGGCAGCAGCGGTAGCCCCGAGCCCGCACGCAGTCGTCCCGGAGCGGCGAGCCCTACCAGTGCTGCCCTGGGGTTACGAGGAGGAGGGAAGAGCAGGTCTCCCGCGGGAGTACGGCCGGCGCTGGCCCCGAGCTGCCCCCCTCGTTCCCTCCCAGCGGCAGTGACAAGGCCGCCCGCCCGCCCGCCGAGCGCTCGGGGCTCGCTGGACTCCCTAGAACCAGTGCCGGGAGAAGCCGCGGATCCCCGGTCAGGGTAAGAGAAATAATCGCTTCGCTCCACGTCCGACCCCGAAAAGCAGCGCCAAGTGCGGCTTCTCCAGCCCCGGCCGATGCACTCGCGTCTCTCCTCTCCTCAGAAGGGGCAGGGGAATCCGCCGCCAAAGTCTGGATGCGGTATCAGCCTTCCTCGGGACAAGCAAGCCGCGAACGGGGGTGGGAGCCGGACCCGCCGCCGGCTGAAGTTTGGGGGAGCCAGAAAAGAGGCGGGGGCCAGCGGAAGGCAAGGGCGGGGGGACGCCGCCCGGGTTCGGGGGTCCGGGAGCTGTCGGATGAGCGAGCGCCGGTGCCGGGAAAGCGGAGGTTGCGGAGGAGGAGAGAGCTCTGCAGCGGCTGCCGCCGGCCAGGTCTCCTCCTGCCGTCCCTTTCGGAAAGGAGGCAAAGTTTGGAGAACTCTCGGTTTTCTTTTTAAATAACTCGAGCTAACTTTTCTCTCTCCCCCCCCCCTTTTTTTTTTCCCTTAATCCGATAAAGCTTAGCAGCCGCTCTCACATGGAAGTGAACCTTTTCCACCAGCTATCGAATAATCGAATAATGTTTTGGTCTTACCTTTGATGTTGAACTACGAATCCCCGCGGATCAATGGCCAGAAAGTTAGAAGAATTGGTGATTTAGGACTTCAGTACTTCTGGAAAAAAAAAAAAAAATGCCTATGGTTTAGCCAGGATCTTCCCTGTCTGATTCGTTACTATTATTATATCTGATGATGTGGATGGATGGAGAGATTCAATCCAAGCCCATTAATGAGCTATTTTATAAACACCACCGTCTGAAGATCTTCATTTACATTTTGTCAGTGATCCTTTCTTTACCAGCGGAGACGTGTGGCGGCAGAGCGATTACAGGACTTTAGTAAAGCTCCTCTAAGAGCACCACTGCCTTGTTAATCGATTAATATTTTATAAAGCGTAAATATTTTATAAAGTTTTTAGGAAAACTATCGATTCTAAATTATTAAACTAGTCAAAAGGGCATTTGAATAATGCATACAATTAAATACATTTAAATATATATGTAGCAATTGCTTTATTTGCAATGAATACCCTGCACCTTTCTCTCGCGTTCGTTTTTTTTTCCCCACCGCAGCTGGTTTCTTATTTGCATGTTCACTGGAATATCGGCATTGCCAAATACGTGTTTATTCCTGTGTTTGTAAACTGAACGTTTACACAAATTACTCTTTTAATTTCGAAATCGGGAGCGGTAATCATTTGAGAGTTTCGACGCGGAAGCAAAAGGGCTTATTCATAAAACTGAGGGGAAACAGAACCAAGCGCGTATAAATTTTGCTGGTTGGTAACTTCTGGTTTGTAAACATCACTTGACAGATTTTATGATACACAATGCTTATTTTTCTTTTACATATTTTTTTCCGAATAAAAGCCTTTTATTTCTGTTTCAAATTACAAATGCCTTTTTTTTTCTTCAGTGCATAATTTTCACATGTTGTCCTTATTTCCACTGGAAAAAAAAAAGGCGATTATTTCCCATCGCTTTCCCCATTCGTCCTCGCTATAAACCTCGCTATAAAAAGAACTGTTTATTTTTAATACTTTTTAAATTAATAATAACAACAACGTCTTTTCCATTTTCTAACACGAACTCCAGTAGACTTTTCTGCTCTCGCACTCTGGTGAGACCAGGAGTGGGTGCGCTCCTAGTCCCCAACGCTCCTTGTTACCGAAGTTTATAGACGCCTCAAGTGGTTGATAGCCAAAAAAAAAATTGAACAAATGAACAAAAACACCTCCTTGGAAAAGTTTGGTTTTCATTAACTATCGCTTTTAAAGCCAAAACGCATGGAAGCGATCGTAGCTCCGTGCCTGCACAGGCTTCAGAGGCGGGCGGCTGCAGCTGGGGCTGCCGTGGGCTGCCGCGCCTCGGCCGCCCGCGGTGCTGCCCCCGGGCCGGGGCCGCCCTCACCCCGCACAGCTGCTCCCGAAAGCACCGCCGTCCCCGACAGAACCCGCCGGGCTCCCGTGCGCTCTCCCCTCCGCCGGCTTCCTCCCGTTCCGCCCAGTGCCTCCTGGAGGCCGCGGCGTCCGTGGGACGCCAACCCCACCGCCGGGCTGGTGCCCCCGCGGCGCGGCGGAGCGCTGCGGCCAGGGCCGAGGAGGGACTCCGGCCGCCGCACACTTGGGTGTCGGGGGGCGCCGGCCTGCCCCCCGCGGGCACTACTTCGAAGCGAGGAGGCCCAGAGCTGCCGCGACGATGCAGCGGCCGGCAGAATGGGAGCGGGGTGGTCCCGCAGCCCCGGTAGGGCAGCGCCGAGTGCCCGCGCGGTCGGAGGCAGCAGCAGGCACCGCCGAAGCGGGCTAATTCGGCAAGGGGAGAGCGGCTTCCGCAGGCGAGGACTCCCGTCTCCCTGCTCACTCGCGGCCTGAGCTCCCTTCCCAGCGGCTGCCATCGCGATGGGACCAAGCTCGAGGCCGCTCCTCGGGGCCGGGACCGGACCACCCGCCCGACCCATCCCGGCGTCTTCCCCTTCACACAGCGCCATCGCGCGGGCACCGGCGCCGGCGCAGCCCGAGGCGGCCGCTGCTCAGCCCTGACTGTGGCCCCGGTGCTCCGGTGCGGCCGGGCAGGGCGAGCACCACCTGCTAAGGGGGGCGCCCGGGCTCCTCCTGCGCCGACCCTACCGACCTCCACTGCGCCGCTCCGCCCTGCCGCCTTGCCCGCCGCGCTGCATGCCGTCGAGGCTCCGGTACCCGCGGCCAGGCCCGAGCAGGGCATAAAGGCCGGCCCGGAAAAACCCGTGGGGACTGACCTCCTGCCCGGTGCGCTTTTTTGGCGCTGCCCCCGCGGATGCGGAAAGGCGCTGCGCAGCCGAGGAGCCGGCCTCCCGTTCCGGAGCAGCCCCTACATTTAGCTCCCGCCGTCGGGGACGAGCCGTCCAACCCTACTGCGCCACACTACCGCGATCCCCAGCTCGGCGCCAGGTTTAGGAGGTGAAGCTAAAACGAAACGAAAATATCCCTGATCCCAAGGGCAGGAGGAGCTCAGCCCTTCCCACAGCACTTCGAGGGGAGAGCTCCATCTCCCCCCAACAGGAACACAGGCGGGTCGTCGCCCTTTCCCAGCCGCACACCGCTGCTTTGCTGACGGCAGACCAAGCCTAAGTGGGCAGCTGCCCAGACGTCGAGCGCGGCGGCTGCCCGGGCGCCTGGCGAGTCCTGGCTCCGCGATACAGCGCCTTGGCCCCGCGGGAGCTTCCTCAGCCTCTTCGGGGTCCGCACGGCTCGTTCGTGCTGTGCCGGTGAAAAAGGCGGGGGGGGGGGGGGGGGGGGGGGGCAAGAAACGGAAAAAAAACCCACAAAATAAAAAGCGTCTTCATGGCGCCCGAGTTCCGACGGAAAGAGTATCTCTGCAGACTGCCCTCGCCTTCATCCTTCCCCTCACTGATTTTATTAATAAATCCTTTGCCGCTAACACTAGTTATGTATAGAAGGAGCTGCGGATAAAAAGAAATCTCTACAGCCAAACATACAGGGAAGGGAAAGACTCGGCCGGAGCTGTTATTACACCCTATTTCGGTGTCAGAAAGCAGCGCAGCCCCGGCGAGGCGAGCGCACGCAACGAGCTGGCCGCCGGGCCGCCTGGAGAGGGGCTGAGCCGACCGCTGCCAGGGTCCTGCCCGGCTCCCTCCTGCCCTCCGGCTGCCACTGCGATCTGCAGCTTCCCCTTGCTCCTCACAGCCTTCTCCAGCTCTTGGCTGTCCCGCTGGCCGCAGGCTTGCGGTTTTCCCGCAATCACACGCTGCAGTGAGAGCCGCGAGGGATTTCCTCCGTGAGATTTCACGCTCATCGACCCGCCTCACCTTAGACTTCAGAGACTCTTCGGTTTTGTACAGCTTCTCTAAAATAATGTTTAGATTTGTCAACTGTCAGCAGCAGAGAGCACAGACCGAACCGCCTGTGCCCTGCGGCTCTTCTCCTTCAAATTAGCAGCTTACAATTGGAAACGAAGGAAGAGTTTTACTACCTTCGTTGCGATTAAGGAAAATTCCTTAGATCCGAGAAAGAAGTGACTAACAAGTTCCGAGACGAGCCCCGCCACCGAGCACCAGCTGAGGCTGCTGGCTGCAGCAGCCCAAGGCCACTCCGGTGCCGTCTGCCCCGGGCCGGGCGGCGCGTCCCTCTCTCGCCCCGAGATGCCCGCGCCGAGCGGCGCTGCCCGGAGAAACGCGCGTCCCGCCTGCCGCGCACCGGCAGAGCCACGGCATGAACGAATGCGGCGGGGGGCTGCAGCGGCGAGCGGCCCGCCTCGGCCGGGGAGCCAGCCCGATGCGTGCCTTTTCACCCAGAGGCGTTTGCGGAGTGCCCAGGGAGCCGCTTTTACCCCCAGCCGTGTTATCGCTTAGGGCTGGTGCGAGAGACGGCGGAGCTCAGCAGGACATACCAAGAGTGCAGGGCGGAGGACTCGTACCCTAAGGCACGAATCGTTAATTGCAACGATTTAAGTAAATTAGCAAGAGCCCTTCTCCCCCGCCCGGCTCCGACCTGGAAGCAGAGTACCACCCGCCCTCGTTCGACACCCACCGCCTCCCAAACTCAAGTTCCTGCGGCCGGCGGAGACCAGACGGGAGTAGAGGCCCCAGCAGCGCCGGGAGGACAGAGCCGATTCCCAGCGCCCTCCCCGAGAGCAGCGCTCAGCCCTAGCCTCGCCGTCTCCGCCGTGCTCATTCCTCAGGACGCGGCTGAACAGAGACTGACTCCTGAGCAGAGCAGGGTGACATTTTCCTCCTAAATCCAAATTTCGTCTTTAACACTCTGATCTTTGCACGCAAAACACCCGTGAAAAATCAAACCACCAACAAATGCGTACAGAGAAGCCTCCGCTCTGTGGCGCAAGGCAGCAGCTCCAGCCGGCTTCTTGCAGTAGAGATGGTGCTCGGGGAGCGCAGCCATGGGGGAACCTACCTCCCCCCCTCGCTCCCCCTGAAGCCAAAGGCAGGTCATTCTGAGACAGAGCTGAGCCCAGCCGGCAGCTGCTGAAGCCGGGCTGAAGGGACCGGGCTGAGAATTTAGCCGTTTATGTGCAAATAACTGAAGGTTGCTGCTCTGCTCAGTGAAAAGGGGCAGACATTGCAGGGGATTTCGAGTGAAGATAAACAGAGGTTTTATTGAACTACAAAAGCTAAAAATGCCGTTGAACAGATCAAGGAAACGCACCCTAACGCACACGAGCACCAAGCCTCCCACAGCCCAGGTCCAGCAAACGGCAGCCAGCTCAGAGCCTTCCCGGCCCCATGAAACGGGCTTGCCCCCGTCCCTAGCGAAATCTCCGCACCTGAAGAGCTGCAAGGTACTGGCGGGGTGCCGCTCAGCCGCTTCAGGCTTTGGCAAGCCCTGTACTGCTACCAGTGGAGCTCAAAGGGCGCGCTCTCTGCAAAGGGGACACCCATGTAGCTCCAGGGCAGGAAAAGGCCAAATCCTGACGCTTTTCCTCCTACAAAAAGTCCTATTATCTTTTCCCGTGGCCTCAAAACTCTGCCCGCCTATATGAGCAAACACAAAGAGCTTTCGGGGCCAGGACTGGTACTTGGCCTGCAAGAGGACCACCTGGGGTCTGAGGCTGCCCGCCCGCTCTCAGCAGGTTCAAGGTAGTGGGAGGGCAGTCCCGGTGGCCTTGCAGAAGCGGCACCCTATAGCCTGAACGTGGCTTCCCGCGGCGGCAGATACCGGGGCTGCGGAGGCCTGCGGATACTGCCCGGAGCCTGCCCGCCGTCTGCCGGCTGGGCCGCGCTGCGCTGCCCCCGCTATGCTTCCACACGTCCCCATCCAGCCCCGTGCCCCGGCGGCGTTCAGGGAGCGAAGCGGGCCGGCATCCTGTGCCCAGCAGCCTACGAAGGCAGCCATCTCTCAGCCTCGCGTGGGGGGGGGGGGGGGGGAGGCAGCGAGAGGTGACCATGGGGCCGCGCACCGCTGTCACGCAGCGAGCTCGATTCCTCCTTGATCCTTGTCTGCCACTAGCCCGAGCGCTTCACCCGGCCTGCGGGGCCGGAAGGCATCCGGCTGTCCCGGCTCTCCGCCGCAAGCGGCCAGTGCACTTCCGTGATAGATTTCAGGTTTGTGAGGGACTGGTTATCAGTACCCGCAGTTTGAAATCCCGTTACAAAACCGGACCAGACGCAATGCTCGTCTGCTTCCCATCACGGAATCACTCCAACCAAATCAGCATCTAACAAGCGAGTTTGTCCCCAGCGGGTACGACAGTTCTCGCTTCCTCCGCTCCGTGAACCGCTGCACTTCTGCCCCAGGAAGTGCCTTTCGCCCACACCGCCCCTGCGGGTGACACGATTATTTCTCCTCATGGCCAGCGTGTCGCGGGGAGCCGGAGGCACCCTGGTCCCCAGGGCGAACGGGCGCCGGGGCTCAATCCGCGCCGCCGCGCCTCTCCGGGGTCCCCCGCCGCCGCAGCCTCCCACCCTCCTAAAGACGAACCGTTCCGAGATCTCTGCGCTTTGTCAAGCCGCCGGAGTATTTGACAGTCACAACTACCTGTAAATATTCTGACTGGTTTGTATACGAGACACTTTTTTAGCCTCAAGCCTGGCAAGTCTCACCCGAGAGGAGCTGTAACACTACCGCAACTTCACCGCGCTTCGCTCTCGAAGCTGAATAGCAACTGCTGAGCCTGGGAGCGGTAGGGACAGCTACCGCTTCCCTCTCCCCGCACCTTGAAATGCGGTAGCCAAACACTTGATTTAAAATGCTAACAGTGAGGCGAGAATTCAAACTGGTAACAGAGAAAAAGAGGTGCCTATTAACAAACCATCCTTTCGGGGACAACAAAACGGTTCACGCACGGGCTGATGTGCCAGATTTTCAAGCATACTTGCGAACGCAGTTTAAGGAAAAAAAATAATCATGAGATCAGAGCTTCTCCCTGCAACACTCCGAGATTTCATAATCGGTCTGCCCAGTTTTTACTTCAACCTCTCCTTTTCCTACCCATTACACAAAAATTAGCAGCGTGGAATTACCTGTCTGCTTCTTTGTGCCTCTTTCAAGCAAAGGAAGTAAAAGTCACTTCACCTATTAGCTTGTGTAAGTAATAAAGAGGTGGTAACTTGGAGCTACCACATTTTGAAGATAGCGTCATACATTTTAGCATAAATAAGGGCGTTATAGCTCTAGTGATTACTGGATCAATTCATCAGTGCAACAACTTGTGGCGCCTTCGGTTCTTAGCGAGTATTTGTTCCGTCACTGGGAACAGCTCTGTACACCCCGCCTCGCTAAGACAAGAACGGCAGCAGCCCCGCTGTTTCTGGGGCGTCTCTGCGCGCGTTTATTGAAGGGAAAGGCAGTTTGTGAGCGCCTTCACTCTGTATCAACCTATTTTGAGCCAGACCCGATGGGATTTCTCTGGTTGCAGCATCTCCCCCCCCCCCCCCCCCCCCCGCGCAACGAGGACAAGGTGGAGATGCAGCGGCTCCCGTAAGAGAGCGTCGTGGCGTGAGGCTTCAGCCTCCCCTCGCACAGCAGCGAGGAATTTGCCCAACTTTGCGCAAGTTTCACAGCCCTGGGCTTTTTCTAAATCGTTTGCAATAAAGGGACTGCTTAAGAGCCCAGCCATGCTGCCGGCAAACTCCAGAGGCTTTTCGCAGAACTGCCTCCATTCGACTGAGGGGTCGAGAGTGGGGCGCACGCCTGGGATGGGTGAGCTCCCGGCACCTCACGCCCCGCCGGTTCTAGCCCCTACTCCGGCTTGCTCCGCTCTCGGTGCCA